TTCTAACTAAGAATAAGATTATATCCAATGACGTTTGAGTGAACTTGAGTCCGTGGTAATGGATTTTATTTGCAGTTTGTTTAGTATTACTAGAAGGTGACGTTATGTCTCGTTTATGAATATCTGAGCTCATTAACTGAAGTATTTTTACCGGAAGTTGCGTGTAGCATGCATGACCTACATTCAAGTAGCAGTTCCCGATTGAGATAAACAGGGTGCATTTTCAATAAGAATACGACGTTGTGATAAGATCATATGTTCTATAAAGAAAAGTAATGATATTTACAAGCCATTCAAGTGCATTTGAGTCCAAAGTTACGCATAATAAAGACAGTAGGTCCGGTATATGATTCAATTTAGTACCAGTGACTACCGCTAGAGGCCGTCTGTGTGAAATCGACATTTATGAATATCTGAGCTCATTAACTAAAGTAATACCAATAGCTGGCGGCTCACGCCTTAGCTAAAAATAAAAATAAATCTCTGAATGTTTTTTATCGGGTCTGTCGACGGATTATAGACTTGATGAGCGTCATTATATAAATACAACGTGTTTTACAAGGGCATTATCCTTGGACAATCCCGCAGGGAGTCTACAGTAAAATCCTTAGATGTATTTGCCTGTGCTGTAATACATCCCTGCAATGGCTGTACATGATGTTTTGGTAGCCCTATTCCTGTCATTTCCATTGTGTCTTGAAAAGGGAACAGGTCGCTGAGAAATATTGACGCCTAATATAAATGTGTTTGTACGTCTACATCACTGAAAAGCTAATTATATCAGGCAAATACGTCAGCACTTGATGAAAAAATCGGAGTTCATATACGATCCAGTGTGAAACCAACAGGATATTAGGGAGATTTCAATACAGAATGAAAGGCATCAGGAACTGATTTGAAAATTGGAAGCCAAAATGGTTTCTCCTGAGAGTAAGTTTCCCGTACCACTCTTGACGCTGTCAACCATGACGTCACCTGCCAATCACGTGAACAATATCATCTTCTATAAAACATAAATGTGTAAAATGTATGAAAGACGCTCGTGCGTTGATACCGTTTTTATCATTTAAATGATGACTGGGTAAACAAAGAGAGCACTTATTTTGAAACAAAATTGTATTTCGATGTAAAAAGCCACAGAGTGTGAAATTTTACTAAAGGTCAAAAGAATCAAAATTCGTACATAAAATGTTCCAAAACGTACATTGTATGTAGCAATATAATGCAAGGGAGGGGGCATATAAACTCTTCATAACGTTTGAACTTAACCACATAACAGGTACCTGTAACTGTCTCTTTAACTAGTATTTCATGTAAACCCCGCCAGAAAATAGCTGAGACGCGAACCATATTCAAGCAATATCAATACATATTATTATGAACTAAAACTGGGCTTCAATTTAATTGTACAGCATATGTTTACAGTTATTGGATCAATTTATGCTAACTGCTAAATTTGTATTACATTATTTAAAATATTTCAAATTAGAATGTCTGCACTATTTAATACTGTCGTTGCATGGGACGTAACTCGTGCTTATAAAGGATAAATCACTACTTAATGTTAAAAGCTTTATTTGCCTGCTTCCTTATGAAAATGTTGACCTAAAAATGTACATAATACACAAAAAAACGTGATGTCTCAAATTAATCATGCGAACATCATCTTGTATGTGTAAAACATTAATGTGTGATTGTTTGAAAATGTGCGAAAGCATAAACGTTACCACAAGACGCAAAACATCTTCAAAGAAATATTTCTGATCCGATAGGTACACTGTATATCATAAATAAGAATGAATCACACCAACTTATGTCTAGTGTAAAGCGTTATCTTCTGAGCAATTTAGATAAGTCCATAAATCTGTCATAACATGTCATAGACAGGTGTTCTCAATAAAGAGGATATTTTCTTTATAACGTAGATAGTCTGGTGTAGACGATATGATATTCTGCATCATAAATCTGCGATTGCGATTTATATCTCCAACAGTTCATGTAAGTAACTTCACGCATTGACATGGAACAAATTAAAAGCTTACATTCGTTTATAGCTTGCTTGTAATATATGTCTGTCTGCTTGTATAAGTTAAATATATTGTTGTTATACAGTATATAGACGAGCTTACACAAGTTCCAATTGGATATAATTTCTTATGAAAAAAAGATTTGTAAGAATTTAAACAATGTAAGTGGGAGCGGCTCAGAGATATTTTCTATTCTTCTCTTTTTTAAATCAAATTAAATTTTCCATTTTTGAACATTTAGACTCTTAACTATCAATAACAATAAACCATCACAATTTTACGCTTTCCTTGAACTTATGACTTCATTTTGTAATGCTCGCGTGACGTGAAAGTGTGGTTTCAATATAGAAAATATATGTGATTGCGATACGTTATAAAATTCTTCCACAGCAAGAAAATATTTCCTAAATTTTAATTTCAATATGCACAAAACTAGGAATATTTCGTTGATTTTGTTAAAATCAAATCAACAAACTACATCTCCAACTAAGTTTATGTCATTATTGCTAGCTACTTATGCTTCCATTTCGATAATATTTCAATATATGTATTGATTAAACCTGCTTTAGTGGCACCTTGAAATCAAAAATATATCAACGATGTTTCCGTTTTTTGTTGCTTAAAAACAATTGATACATGAACATAAATTATTTGAAAATAAATAACTGAGATATACAGTAAACTGTGACATGTTCGCCTCCTATATTGTTTTGCACGTTTAACCCTTTCAAGAGCGGGCGAATTCAACGTTGGTCAAAATAAACAAGAAATCTACCGGGCAAAAATATAATGATGATTTCAATTAACTTATATTTTGAAAAGATCAATTAACGTTAGCTATATTATTGAACTAAAACAAACGAAACCTGCTCCAAAATGTACGTGGTCGTGGTACGTGTGCGATCCTCCGCTCTCCACCGTTTCTTAACGGGGGACGACAATTGAAAATTCAAATTTGTAATAAAAAGTTATTTGGAAATAATAATCATGGAAAACATGTTCCTTGAATGAACTCAAATGGCCAGAAAACAAGAGACACGTCAAGTCTGTGTCGCTTATACAATTTTAATGCTTCTTGCTTATATCTCACATATGTGATCTTCAAATTAGGTCAATATAAATTTGATATTAAGTCGATAGCGAGCAAGGCGACAATACATGAGTTAAATATCGTGATACATGTACTCATGCAACTTGGGTGATTCAATGTCATTTATTGACAACACTTAATAGATACCAGTGTCTTCGGGCAAGCAACCTGAAAATCATTTAAAGTATTATCATAAATGTGGTTTTAAAAAAAATATTTTTGTTTTTTAGAAATATCACAGATTTTAGTGGCCGTGTTTCAAAGTCTCCTCGTGCGTGCACTATAAAAATAATCCAATGAAAATTTAAAAATTTAAAAATTTAAAAAGAACATTTCTATAGAAAAAATATTTATAACAGAATTAATTTCATCCTTTCCGCATTGAATTTGACGAATATATTATATATTATTTCAAATGTGTTTCACTAATTCGTGCCCAAAGTATAAACATCTTGCTCCAGTTATTCAAAGGTTGATTAACTTTTAGCCAGTGGTAAGTGATACATTCAAACTGTTGTCAACATGAATCATGTGTGTGCAAAGCAAGATAAATCTTCCAAACAAATCAATCTGATCTATAGAAGTGAAAATATGTAAGATATTCTTGATTTTCTTGTATTCATATTTTAAAATTTTCCCTAACCACTGGTTAACTATGGCCGGCCATTGAGCAACTGAGGCCGGTTGTTTTTTTACAGCACCTGTAGCCTTTATTTGCCTTGTCTTTTATTGGCGGATTTTGTGACCGGCTTGTATTATATGTTCATAAATACGGCAATACTTTCAGAATTTTCAAGATGAGAAAAAGATGTTCATCTCCTTATAAAATTCATACTAAATAAAGCAGATTTTTTTTTTTTGAATTTTGTGAATGAAACGTCATAATCAATCTACAGAAACAAGAGGGTCTTAACGATCACATGGAATTTGTGCCTTAAGTAAATGACAAAATGGTGCAATCATTTTAAAACCTTTGTAAAGCGATAAATGAAATTTTAGAGGATGTGCTACATATATGCATTTCAAAACATTGGGTGATACTACGAATTCCCAAGACACATTATAAACACTGAAACTGAAAATTGCTATAACTTTTATAACATTTCTACCTTTTTATAACAACATATAGTATTACAAAACCACACTTTATATAAAGTTGATATTTATCAATTACGGTCACAAGGCCCTTGTTTTTAAATAGATATCGGTAAAATGTGTTACTCGGCCATGTATGTTACTATCATTTTTGTGCTTTCTCATCTTGTTTTGAGGTCGGCATGCCTCTCCACAGCTTATAAGACACACCTAGGTAAAAACATTAACTTTAGATAAAGTGTCATTTTGTTGCATTTAGTTGATCGCAAAAGAGATTGAATCAAAAAGTCAGGTATCCTTTTTTTATTGAAACGTAAGCATTAACGTCTTATCATGTAAACCTCGCCATGGAAAATTTCAATAGCTACAATGTACAAATTTCATATATTTTAATTACATATATAAGTTCCGACTATAAATTAGGGTCTTTTAATATGACTCAACATGAGTTTGGAACTTCGGGTGACTAAAGCCTCTGTCAGTGGTCTTGTTGATAATAACTGACTACTCACGATTATCGTCACAATGTGATTTTCAAATGGAGTTTTTCTTTTTCAAATATGATGCGTCCAACACTTACCAAGTCCAAACATAAACATGTTTTACTGTATACAATGTAGTTTGATATTTGGATATATTATTATGCATTTTGAAAAACGCTCTCTCTCATTTTAACTTTCTTCAGTTTGGACTTGAACGACGGTCTGCTTGTCTCATTGTGATGTTTACGTATGTGTTTCTGAAGGTCCGATTTCTTCCAAAACTCGGCTCCGCATTCTGTACATATCAACTCTACATGCTCAGAAACATCCGTACAATGACTTTTTTCGTGATTTGCTAGATTCCTTTGATTCATATAAGATTCATCACATGTATTGCACGTATATGTTCGGTGTGCATCATCACAGTTATCCATATCCTGTTCAGTTTTAATTTCCATTTGATATACATATGATGTATCAGCGGTTGAGGACATGTTTTGGTTTGCGTGCAAGCCTTCGTCAAAAGAACTTCCATGAGCTTGAAATGGCAAGTTACCTTCGCCATAGGCTGTTTCTGTGTCACAGTATCCAGTTGAAATAGGTTCTGTTTTGATAAACCTATATTCATTGTTGCAGTCGTCGTGTGCTGAACTCTCACACACATCGCTTTCTTTTAATGTGTCCGATACTACCGTTTCACAGCCGATTCCGTCCGACTCTTCTTTAAAACCAAACAGTTCATCATTTCTTTGTGATGCATCAGAAAATTCCTTCGAATCTTCCTCTGTCTTTTGTTTTTTCGATTTAGATAACCTCGACAATTTCGTTTTACCTTTGATTTCGTTCTGTATCTGATTATCAAAGTCACTTTGTTTCGAAATGTTTTGTTCTACTAGGTTTTTCATTCTCCCAAGTGTTTCGCCGCTACATCCACCGCTGATTTTTTTCCCTTTGCCTTTTTCGTGACTTTTCTCGTGTGTAGCCATGCTTCCCTTGTTGATGTATTTCTTTCCACATACTGAACAGCTGTATGGTCGTGCTTTGTCATGCACAGCTGAATGTGCCCATCTCTGTGCAGCGGTAGAAAATATCAGATCACAATATTTGCATGGAAATCGTTTTCCCGATTCATCCATAGAATTTGATTCTGACTGTTTATTCGCTTCTGGCGAGAGTCGAGCGTTTTTGTCATTTGCAGTGTCCTGCTCGCTTTTGTCTGTTAAATGAGATTCCATATGAATAGTAAACTGGGTAACTGAACTGTATTTTTCACAACAAACTTGACACTTAAATGGCTTGGCGCTGGGATGATCGTGTAAGTGTGTATTAAGTTCATCTTTATCAGTACAATTATTACCACATATTCCACAAGTGTATTTCTGAGAGCCAATATGTGCAGCCTGGTGTTCTTGTAAGCTCAACAAGGAATCAAAACGTTGGCAGCAAACATCACAGACATGTATCTGTCTCTTGAAATGAAGAAAGTTAACATGAGAAAAGACGCTGGTTATATCTTTAAAAGTCATATTACATATACTGCAACCGAATGCACTTATCTCGCATGAGTTTTGCCTGTGCTGCTGCAGCAAGGGTGCATCCTTAAAAGGCAGCTTACACCGCCTGCTCCCAAATGTTTCTTTGTGGGTGAGTAAATGGGACTTGAGACTACTCTTCTGTCGAAATGCCTTTGGGCACTTGTCACAGCTGTAGGGTCTTTCACCAGAGTGTACCAAGCTGTGAGCCTTCAAGGCTGATGAAGACATGCAACCATGCCCACAAAGTTCACACTTGTATGGTTCTTTCCCTGTATGTTTCATCATGTGCCTCTTCAGCATATTGTTATATGCAAACATGGCGCCACAGACATTACATTGGTGAATATTCATCTGCAGCTTCATCGTGTCTTCCATCTCCGCAAACTGCTGGTTTGTATTTATGTCTTTCGCATCCGTGTATGTATTATCAGATTTGTCAGTTACTGCAACCTTAGTAAGTTTTTTAACAGAAATGCAAAAAGGCGTTCCAGAATTGATGTGTCCACTCGGTGGCAGTTGTGATCCAACTAAGCTCCTTTGCCTTCTTAGTTTCTCGAAAATAGCAGAACCAGACGAGCTGTCGACAGTTTCCTCGCTTGGTCTATATAAATTGTCCATACAACTAAAATCTGTCATATCACTTCGATTTTCCTCTTCTTCAATATCATTGGGTTCCTGTTTGATAGTGTCTGCATCACTTGATTTCCCCGAGTCCGAACCAGAAGCATCGACATAACAGCCAGGTTCTCCTTTCCACTCTTGGGTTCCAGATTCCAAAGTATCCGTACCTCCTTTTTGAAAGTCAGTTCTGTCCTCTTCAACAAACTCGTCTTTGTTTTGTAATTCGCCTTTGTGTGAATTACTGACGTCAATATTGTGATCAATTATTTCTTTTTTGTAATTACTGTATAAACTGTACGGCACTGGATGTTCTTTCATGTGTCTCCGTAGTCGGTCACTTGCTCTGAAACCCTTATCACAAACAGGACAAATGTATGAAATCTCACCAGTATGTACTCGAAGATGGCTTTCAAGCGTGTTCTCATGGAAAAACTGTTTGAAGCAGTAGGGACAGTTATAGCGTTTAGTGAACGAATGGGTTTGCATATGATTTTGTAACTGTGGTAATACAATGAATTTGTCACCACAATGACAACACTTGTATGGTTTAGCCTCGGGGTGAATGTCTAAATGCTTCATCAGGTCTTCTTTACTGTCCACAATTTCTTCACATATACCACAACTGATTTCTTCACACTGATCGTCATGTAGACTCTTGTGAAGTTTCAGATCATCAGTGTTAGCAAACCGTCTGCTACATATATCACAAAAACAACGCTTGTCAACAAAATGTGACTCCATCACATGGTTTCCAATTTCGGCGAAATCTTTTGCCACAAAGACACACATGCTGCAACCGAATGGTGACAAACCTACATCAGACAAACTTTCATTTTCTCCTGATGCAGCAATTGGTGTCTGTTCAGTTTTAGTCCGCTGATTAGAAGAGACTTCTTGGGCCTCCTTTGTGTGATTTGCATTGTGTTCTTTAAGATCCTTCTTTAATTTTATTTTCTCTCCACAAATACCGCACGTGTAGCTTTTGTCAGGGGAGTGTACTCGACTATGGAGGTCATGGCTGAACTGGGTCATGAACCCAAGGTTACAGTGTTTACATTTGAACGGCATATCGCCATTGTGTTTTTTCATATGCTTTTTAAACACACTTTCATACGTAAAAATATCGTTGCATTCTGGACATTTGAAAATCTTCACTTGGAGATTTTTGGATGTTCCCTTTATGTTTAAAGTATTCCCTACAAGATTCTCAAAAAAGAACAGTGTATTTGATGGCACTTTCCCGTCCATTTCTGTCTTTCCTGTCTCCTTGTTCTTTGCCTTGTGACCAATGTTAACACTCGGTGAGTATTCCTCGTCAGAGTTTCCTTTAGTCTCTTCAGTTTCATTCTGGTATTTGTCTTCATCAAGATCATCGACCTTGTCCATATGGAATTCATTACCAAATTTCTTATACGTTTTACCTGTTGCATTTCTCTTTGCTCTTTTGCTTGTTGAGTCAATTTCAACCTCTGTCGTTTTCCGTTTCTTCAAATTTTCCTCGTTTTGGTGAGTTCCAGAAGCAGTGGTGTTGTCATCCATTTCATTGCTTTTTAATAAGTATTCTTCGAACACCTCAGTACCTACACCATTGTTATTTCCATCGTCATCGTCTGTCAGTGGTTCCTGTTTGATCACGAAAGCCACGTTGTCTTGGGAACTTTCAGATTGTGCAGAACATATACCTAGCTCTCTTGTATTTTGAACAGTTGATGTCATCATTCCTGGAAAAACTGTCTGTGAATTTGTTTGAAAGCATGTGTCTACGCCTTCTTCATCCTCAGAAACATGCTCCTTTTTAATGTCTGTCACAGAGAGATCAGTCGAAGAACTCTGTCCAAATCTATCGGAAAACACTATGTTATCACCTGAGTCGATTAGAGATTTAGTTGCGTTATTACTAGACGTGGAACAGCCTCCTGTTGATACCTCTGACATTGATGCACTGCTAAACATTACATCATTTTTAAATTGATCGGATTCAAATCCAGGGCCAATTGGTGAACTACTTCTTCTGTTAGTAAAACTTTCTGCCATGCCAATTTTACCGAAATCTTTTTCATTGGATAATGGTGATTTAGATAGTCCACGAAGCCTATGGTGTTCTTGTACTAGAAATCTCAGAGAATCACTATGTACTTTAGTGATATCTATGTCAGCGCCACCTGCACATTCCATCTTGTTAGGTATTTAACTGATGTTTTACAAATCCCTTGTTGTCAGTCTCTTGAAAAGTTTCTTGGCGCGTTGACCTCATCAGAATCATGATATGTTACATGGATTTCAGAACCTGTAACAGAAAAAAAAGTTAAGTTTTACCAGAATATTTCAGCCATGGCTTAGTATTTTTAGTCTTATGTTTTTTTATTATCTTTCTGCATCTTATACAAGATATACATTGCCTTAATTAAGTTCAAACATTGTATTACAATATAAAATGTTGGCTTTTTCATTTTCTACAAGATTCTTACACAAGTATTTTTGCTCTTGTTAGGTAAATTCTTAAGGTCATAGGAGTGTATTGATAAACAGAAGTAGGAAGTAAAGCCCTAGTTGAAAATCCAATGTAGGGAGACAGTATCACAATTTCCGCATATTCTAATGTTTAATATTAAACTGATGAATATTGTATGTTTATTATTGACAGAACAGTGTTTTCTCTCAATATTTAAGTATTTCAAAGCAATGCAGGCATTAATTCAGGGGTTTTTTTTATCAATGAGCTACATATATCCATTTTTCTGTACTTCAGGAAACCGGCTACCTATTTCACTACTGTGAAGTTTTTCAAGAAAGATAACTCTTACCTGCAAATTCTATGTGCATATGGTTTTATTATAAAATGTCAATTTTTAATCGTTTATAGATCATTTATTTGACATAATTTCAGCATTTATTAAATTGATATACATAATCTAATACTTATCTATGGCAGTATCATTTTTATTGACATTATTTTGCAAAACATTATGTCTTTCCTTTTTTTTTCAAAAGTCACTCCTTTTTACATAAATTTCCATTTTATTTCCTTAAAATTATGACAACCTATATTTTTGTTTTTGTGGCAGAATATTTTCTTTAATTCAAAACAATATAACCAAAAAAAATGAAAATTCTACTAAGAAATGGCGACACAATCCTATTACCTTAATTACTTCAACTGCCATAAAATCACATGTATTATTCCCTACTACATCATGTCTAATTTGTTTGCATGAAGTTTGATATTTATTTTGGACATGTTGGTTACTCATACCTAAACATACTTCAAACAATTGATACTTCAATAATGTTAGTGCACTCACATTTAACCCTTTCACCCCTAGGTGACTTTAGTAGACTCTACCATACATTGATCTGAATGAGTCCATTATGGTCTACAGTGGTGAAAGGGTTAAGAACTCAAATGTATGTCTAATATATAAACAAATGTACATGCATAAAATATATTTAAGTGTGAATAAAATCTCAAAATCAATTTAGCTAGGACAGAATATAAACAAAGGAAAAGATGTGAGGACCAGGGAACTTAACATCTCATCTTCAATAAAAAAATAATATAAGAAATGGACAAACTGATTTCAAGAACATATTTTATCATCTTTTTAATTTTTCATATATACAACTATGTATTTTAGCAATAAGGATAAAATTTGTAATTCTACTGCATTTATAAATGAATATATGTTCAATTAATCTCGAAATGTTAGCACTTAAGCATGATATTAATCCACCTGACAATAATCATGCATTAATAAATCAGGATTTTTAAAGTAACTATTTTTGTTAAATGAGTTTGCCTGTATTGAACCTGTGTTTTAATTTACCTTGACCCAAAAATGATGATTTTATTTACATACAAATGGATATGTACATACACATTATCTGGAATTTTCAAAAAAAATCTTGATTCATACATTTGTTTCATTATTTTAGTAGCAATGGTCAGGCTGATTAGTCAAATTGTAAGTAAAATGTACTCTTGACCAATACATTTATTTAATTTGAATATTGTAAACCGGGAAATTTTGCTGCAGTTCCCCTTTTTGAGCTTCTGTAATGCGGGTCAATTTCTCATCACAGCAAACCACTGTAAGCGACATATATAACATACATAGTAATTCATTGTGAAGAGCAAGTTTAACGTTGGGAGAAAATGGATTTTATTGTCAAAGGGCAAAATTTTTGAGTATACAGTATCATCTGGAAGGATAAGATGCAGTCCTTTTTTTTAGTTTGAATTTCATGTGTAAGTTTTGGTTGATGACTAGTGGAGATTTGAGAACCTGTTTATTTTCTGAAAATGTATTTGTGCTCGAGTTTTGGATACTTACTTCAATTTATGACCAAGTTGAGAATGGGGAACATACTTCTAAAGAAGGTTGTACAAAGTTATCACAACTTTTGTTGAATGGAGTGTAGCAAATATAGTGTGTGAGAATGCTTTCAACCCATAAAACAAATGACAAATTATTTACATTCACAAATTTTATGCAAAATGAGCATGCTAGTGATTTAAGTGAAATGAAAAATATTGACATCGAAGTCAGGAAAGGGACGATTACAATTTGTTTTCAGTCCATACATCTATGTTGATATCTCAATGAAATAATTATTTTTTATCGTTTTATCTACACCATAGCAATTACACTTTGATTGACACCAGCCAACTTGTATTACACGTACACATGTGGGTTTACAACTAAGAGATAATTATCTACCCTCTAATACACTAACCTTGGTGTTTTTACTTTTCACAGATCAGTTAACGAGAGTTATAATCGCAAACATAACAGAAGTCAAACTGAGTGAAAGTACCCAGGTATATACATGTGTTAAAAGTCCACATGCTCTTACACTTCATCTTACTCAATTCATATATATAATTCTTTGAAGATGAATTATTAAAATTCAAAAGCAAAATCAAAAAGTTATTTTGTAAAAAAAATACTTTGTATCGCTTATATGTGTCGATATGTGTTTAATCAATGTGTCAGCAATTTTGAGAATATCATATTCTAGGTAAAGGAATCTATAAAAGTTTTAATACAACAGGAAGGGACAATACAGGCGAGGACAATACAGGAAGAGACAATACAGGCGAGGACAATACAGGAAGAGACAATACAGGCGAGGACAATACAGGAAGAGACAATACAGGCGAGGACAATACAGGAAGAGACAATACAGGCGAGGACAATACAGGAAGAGACAATACAGGCGAGGACAATACAGGAAGAGACAATACAGGCGAGGACAATACAGGAAGAGACAATACAGGCGAGGACAATACAGGAAGAGACAATACAGGCGAAGACAATACAGGAAGAGACAATACAGGCGAGGACAATACAGGAAGAGACAATACAGGCGAGGACAATACAGGAAGAGACAATACAGGCGAGGACAATACAGGAAGAGACAATACAGGCGAGGACAATACAGGAAGAGACAATACAGGCGAGGACAATACAGGAAGAGACAATACAGGCGAAGACAATACAGGAAGAGACAATACAGGCGAGGACAATACAGGAAGAGACAATACAGGCGAGGACAATACAGGAAGAGACAATACAGGCGAGGACAATACAGGAAGAGACAATACAGGCGAGGACAATACAGGAAGAGACAATACAGGCGAGGACAATACAGGAAGAGACAATACAGGCGAGGACAATACAGGAAGAGACAATACAGGCGAGGACAATACAGGAAGAGACAATACAGGCGAGGACAATACAGGAAGAGACAATACAGGCGAGGACAATACAGGAAGAGACAATACAGGCGAGGACAATACAGGAAGAGACAATACAGGCGAGGACAATACAGGAAGAGACAATACAGGCGAGGACAATACAGGAAGAGACAATACAGGCGAGGACAATACAGGAAGAGACAATACAGGCGAGGACAATACAGGAAGAGACAATACAGGCGAGGACAATACAGGAAGAGACAATACAGGCGAGGACAATACAGGAAGAGACAATACAGGCGAAGACAATACAGGAAGAGACAATACAGGCGAGGACAATACAGGAAGAGACAATACAGGCGAGGACAATACAGGAAGAGACAATACAGGCGAGGACAATACAGGAAGAGACAATACAGGCGAGGACAATACAGGAAGAGACAATACAGGCGAGGACAATACAGGAAGAGACAATACAGGCGAGGACAATACAGGAAGAGACAATACAGGCGAGGACAATACAGGAAGAGACAATACAGGCGAGGACAATACAGGAAGAGACAATACAGGCGAGGACAATACAGGAAGAGACAATACAGGCGAGGACAATACAGGAAGAGACAATACAGGCGAGGACAATACAGGAAGAGACAATACAGGCGAGGACAATACAGGAAGAGACAATACAGGCGAGGACAATACAGGAAGAGACAATACAGGCGAGGACAATACAGGAAGAGACAATACAGGCGAGGACAATACAGGAAGAGACAATACAGGCGAGGACAATACAGGAAGAGACAATACAGGCGAGGACAATACAGGAAGAGACAATACAGGCGAGGACAATACAGGAAGAGACAATACAGGCGAGGACAATACAGGAAGAGACAATACAGGCGAGGACAATACAGGAAGAGACAATACAGGCGAGGACAATACAGGAAGAGACAATACAGGCGAGGACAATACAGGAAGAGACAATACAGGCGAGGACAATACAGGAAGAGACAATACAGGCGAGGACAATACAGGAAGAGACAATACAGGCGAGGACAATACAGGAAGAGACAATACAGGCGAGGACAATACAGGAAGAGACAATACAGGCGAGGACAATACAGGAAGAGACAATACAGGCGAGGACAATACAGGAAGAGACAATACAGGCGAGGACAATACAGGAAGAGACAATACAGGCGAGGACAATACAGGAAGAGACAATACAGGCGAGGACAATACAGGAAGAGACAATACAGGCGAGGACAATACAGGAAGAGACAATACAGGCGAGGACAATACAGGAAGAGACAATACAGGCGAGGACAATACAGGAAGAGACAATACAGGCGAGGACAATACAGGAAGAGACAATACAGGCGAGGACAATACAGGAAGAGACAATACAGGCGAGGACAATACAGGAAGAGACAATACAGGCGAGGACAATACAGGAAGAGACAATACAGGCGAGGACAATACAGGAAGAGACAATACAGGCGAGGACAATACAGGAAGAGACAATACAGGCGAGGACAATACAGGAAGAGACAATACAGGCGAGGACAATACAGGAAGAGACAATACAGGCGAAGACAATACAGGAAGAGACAATACAGGCGAGGACAATACAGGAAGAGACAATACAGGCGAGGACAATACAGGAAGAGACAATACAGGCGAGGACAATACAGGAAGAGACAATACAGGCGAGGACAATACAGGAAGAGACAATACAGGCGAGGACAATACAGGAAGAGACAATACAGGCGAGGACAATACAGGAAGAGACAATACAGGCGAGGACAATACAGGAAGAGACAATACAGGCGAGGACAATACAGGAAGAGACAATACAGGCGAGGACAATACAGGAAGAGACAATACAGGCGAGGACAATACAGGAAGAGACAATACAGGCGAGGACAATACAGGAAGAGACAATACAGGCGAGGACAATACAGGAAGAGACAATACAGGCGAGGACAATACAGGAAGAGACAATACAGGCGAGGACAATACAGGAAGAGACAATACAGGCGAGGACAATACAGGAAGAGACAATACAGGCGAGGACAATACAGGAAGAGACAATACAGGCGAGGACAATACAGGAAGAGACAATACAGGCGAGGACAATACAGGAAGAGACAATACAGGCGAGGACAATACAGGAAGAGACAATACAGGCGAGGACAATACAGGAAGAGACAATACAGGCGAGGACAATACAGGAAGAGACAATACAGGCGAGGACAATACAGGAAGAGACAATACAGGCGAGGACAATACAGGAAGAGACAATACAGGCGAGGACAATACAGGAAGAGACAATACAGGCGAGGACAATACAGGAAGAGACAATACAGGCGAGGACAATACAGGAAGAGACAATACAGGCGAGGACAATACAGGAAGAGACAATACAGGCGAGGACAATACAGGAAGAGACAATACAGGCGAGGACAATACAGGAAGAGACAATACAGGCGAGGACAATACAGGAAGAGACAATACAGGCGAGGACAATACAGGAAGAGACAATACAGGCGAGGACAATACAGGAAGAGACAATACAGGCGAGGACAATACAGGAAGAGACAATACAGGCGAGGACAATACAGGAAGAGACAATACAGGCGAGGACAATACAGGAAGAGACAATACAGGCGAGGACAATACAGGAAGAGACAATACAGGCGAGGACAATACAGGAAGAGACAATACAGGCGAGGACAATACAGGAAGAGACAATACAGGCGAGGACAATACAGGAAGAGACAATACAGGCGAGGACAATACAGGAAGAGACAATACAGGCGAGGACAATACAGGAAGAGACAATACAGGCGAGGACAATACAGGAAGAGACAATACAGGCGAGGACAATACAGGAAGAGACAATACAGGCGAGGACAATACAGGAAGAGACAATACAGGCGAGGACAATACAGGAAGAGACAATACAGGCGAGGACAATACAGGAAGAGACAATACAGGCGAGGACAATACAGGAAGAGACAATACAGGCGAGGACAATACAGGAAGAGACAATACAGGCGAGGACAATACAGGAAGAGACAATACAGGCGAGGACAATACAGGAAGAGACAATACAGGCGAGGACAATACAGGAAGAGACAATACAGGCGAGGACAATACAGGAAGAGACAATACAGGCGAGGACAATACAGGAAGAGACAATACAGGCGAGGACAATACAGGAAGAGACAATACAGGCGAAGACAATACAGGAAGAGACAATACAGGCGAGGACAATACAGGAAGAGACAATACAGGCGAGGACAATACAGGAAGAGACAATACAGGCGAGGACAATACAGGAAGAGACAATACAGGCGAGGACAATACAGGAAGAGACAATACAGGCGAGGACAATACAGGAAGAGACAATACAGGCGAGGACAATACAGGAAGAGACAATACAGGCGAGGACAATACAGGAAGAGACAATACAGGCGAGGACAATACAGGAAGAGACAATACAGGCGAGGACAATACAGGAAGAGACAATACAGGCGAGGACAATACAGGAAGAGACAATACAGGCGAGGACAATACAGGAAGAGACAATACAGGCGAGGACAATACAGGAAGAGACAATACAGGCGAGGACAATACAGGAAGAGACAATACAGGCGAGGACAATACAGGAAGAGACAATACAGGCGAGGACAATACAGGAAGAGACAATACAGGCGAGGACAATACAGGAAGAGACAATACAGGCGAGGACAATACAGGAAGAGACAATACAGGCGAGGACAATACAGGAAGAGACAATACAGGCGAGGACAATACAGGAAGAGACAATACAGGCGAGGACAATACAGGAAGAGACAATACAGGCGAGGACAATACAGGAAGAGACAATACAGGCGAGGACAATACAGGAAGAGACAATACAGGCGAGGACAATACAGGAAGAGACAATACAGGCGAGGACAATACAGGAAGAGACAATACAGGCGAGGACAATACAGGAAGAGACAATACAGGCGAGGACAATACAGGAAGAGACAATACAGGCGAGGACAATACAGGAAGAGACAATACAGGCGAGGACAATACAGGAAGAGACAATACAGGCGAGGACAATACAGGAAGAGACAATACAGGCGAGGACAATACAGGAAGAGACAATACAGGCGAGGACAATACAGGAAGAGACAATACAGGCGAGGACAATACAGGAAGAGACAATACAGGCGAGGACAATACAGGAAGAGACAATACAGGCGAGGACAATACAGGAAGAGACAATACAGGCGAGGACAATACAGGAAGAGACAATACAGGCGAGGACAATACAGGAAGAGACAATACAGGCGAGGACAATACAGGAAGAGACAATACAGGCGAGGACAATACAGGAAGAGACAATACAGGCGAGGACAATACAGGAAGAGACAATACAGGCGAGGACAATACAGGAAGAGACAATACAGGCGAGGACAATACAGGAAGAGACAATACAGGCGAGGACAATACAGGAAGAGACAATACAGGCAAGGACAATACAGGCAAGGACAATACAGAAAGAGACAATACAGGCGAGGACAATACAGGAAGAGACAATACAGGTGAGGACAATACAGGAAGAGACAATACAGAAAGAGACAATACAGGCAAGGCCAATACAGGAAGAGACAATACAGTCAAGGACAATACAGGAAGAGACAATACAGAAAGAGACAATACAGGCGAGGACAATACAGGAAGAGACAATACAGGCGAGGACAATACAGGTGAGGATATGACAGGAAGTGACAATACAGGCGAGGACAATACAGGAAGTGACAATACAGGCAAGGACAATACAGGAAGAGACAATACAGGTGAGGACAATACAGGAAGAGACAATACAGGCGAGGACAATACAGGCGAGGACAATACAGGCGAGGACATGACAGGAAGTTACAAAACTGGCTTACTAATGTTTAGCCCCAGTAATATAAATAAGGTACGTGTCATATCAGAATTATTCTCCCATGTTAAGTTTTATGTTTGTAGCATTTTGATTTTATCTTGCCTTTGGTTTATCAGTCTGCTTTATATTTGAGTAGACAGCGACATACACATATATGCTACAGAAACTTGTAATACATGAATTGGTGACTTATCTCCTGTGGAACGATCAACATGGTTTTCACTAACTCATAGAAAAATGTGTGGGTTTTTTTCGGTGTACGTAGCTATCAATTTCTTTAATATCTACTCGTCTCATTATATGTTTTAAGAAATGTCATTGGTACACAACTTCATTATATTTCAGACTTCTAACCACTTACATCAAAAACTCTGCTGTTTATCTTTTTTTTATTTTTAATTTTTTTATTTAATTAATTTAACTATTTTTTTAATATTCTAAGTACTAATAAGCACAAACAGCATATACAAATTTAAAATATTCCTCACACATGATACAAATGTAATTAATGTTATTAGGAGACAGGAAATGCCTCCTTCTGTATGTCACTCAAATCACAACAGTATTAACTCATTCACCCCTGAAGACACATTTGAACTCTTCCAATTCAAAGATTGGAATAGCTCATTATGAAATTTCAGGGGTTAATGAGTTAAAGCAGATGCACTACAATGTTACTAAATGCTGTTATTTTTTTCACAAACCTGATCTCCACTTGTGTTTCTGTATTCTTTGTCCGAGTATTCACATGGCTGGTTCCTATTGGAGACAAAACATCGGTGAAATTATGGTCTAAAATTAAAACATTGATTGTTTTATACTTTCCCAACTCAGTAACAATACAGTGTAGCTTACTTAAATTGTAGAATTTTCACCTGCATCAGCACTCAAGAAAGTTTGTTTTTATTTCTAGGTACCAACTGTACATTTCGGATGTATGGAAATTTAATTAAAGCATGCAAGGTAAGGAAAATACAAGTTGAGGGGGGGGGGCTGATTATTACCAGGCATGGGCTTATCACAGGTAAAATATGGTATATACTAAAAAAATAAATATGAAATTTTGAATCTTATTTTATTTTCGATATAATTCTTAAAATATAGTCAGTTGTGTGTTGTGCTGCTGTATCTCCACTTTAACCAAAGAGTTGAATACATTTACAGGCCTGGCAGTGCCCATTATCAATATATCAAAGCATGGTAAGGATTCATTATATTTACAACCCATAAAAAATATGACATCTGTAAAATAGTTTTTAAACCAGGGGTTTATAATCGTACATTTTTGGTCGGTCGGAAGGGTCCGTTCCCAATATAAGTATGACAAAGAGCATGATTTTTTTTTTAAATCTTCATTATTAACCGAACTCTCAAAACCTAGTATATATGTAGGAAGGACAAAATGATCCTGATGTCATAAATATAGGCTTAAATAAAATAAGATAAACAGTCTAAATACATTCATAACCATTATAATGATCATCCAAATTTCCAAAAATGGTTTTGAAGTCAATTATTTTTCCCCGTGCAGTTTCATCCCAGGATCCCCTGATAAATCCATAGTTAATACAAGTAATTCTCTATACAAATAAGGTAACTTAAAATTCTGGATCAAATTAAGGCAAACATACATTTTTTTTTAATTCTGTTCTAATGAATGTGCATTGTTTTAATACGATATCAGACAAATTTGTAACCCGACATGTCCTCTCATCTACATTTGAAAGTCATGTAAAGAAATCAATCACTCCTGAAATACACTATTTTTGTTAAAATTTTAACAGGCTCAAGAAAACATCTCTGTACATAAATTTGAATAATTTGACTTGGTTTCCTTCATATGTTTTTTAATGAATTATCATTAAAATTGATACTAGTCGTCAATATGTTATGTTCAGATCTTAATTGCAATTAACTTAAAATAAATGCAATAAACTTGTAATAAATGTTGTCTTTTTAATAAATATAATTATCTTAAAACATCTTATTGAGTTATTTGATTTAGTATCCGTACTACAATTACCTTCCAGTGTTTCAAATATTATCTCTCTTTGCCTTGAACAAGATTATACAGTGATACATATTATCATCAATGTCAAGGGAAATTTGCTAAACTATATTGAATGGCTTGCTAAAGCAAGCTCACACCAATATATCAGGCCTCTCAAGATGATGTGACTCAAACTCATATGAACCTGAACTAAATACAGGTCAGACACAAGTCTAGAGAGTCTGCTGTGGTATGCAACACCGTACATGTGTCTGTTCAAAAATCATTATTACAACACAATTTTTTAAGCGACAACAGTGCTTTCCTCTCCAGACATCCCTGCATAATGAAAATAACCAAAGTTTGAAAAGTAACAGGCTGTAAGGAAAGGGGGCACAACATCTGGTGATGCCCTAATGTCTATATGCACACATGAAACACTTACATTTTTAAAGAATTAACACTTGCAAACATGTGAAATGCATATTTAGTTAACTATTTAACTGATTCCTTGATGTTATGGTTGAATGCACTTTACTTCTTTTTTCCTAAATTTGGAATTATGGATTTCATTTTCATTAATAAAAATTGCTAAATCTGTAACAGAAGTCATTATTTTTCTAATGCCTTCACTATAGGGGTTGAACCCTGGCCAGGAACCTCTAGATCTACATTACTAGTTGGGAACACTCTACGGAATAAACTTTAGAGAAATGCCCCCTAGCAGAGATTGTAGGAAGTGGTTTGGTTTGGTTTAGTACTGTTTAATGTCCTATCAACAGCTATGGTCATTTAAGGACGGACACCCCTGTGTGCAAGATGCATGCGTGTAGTGTATGTGTGTGTGTTTTGGAAGGCTGGGATATGTTCGTGTGTGTCTCCCTGTGATAGCGCGGAACTGATGCCGACTTTATTGTGCTACCTCACTGAAACATACTGTCGAGCAGGACACCCCACACTGTCACATGTACATTATACTGACAACGGGCGAAACAGTCGTCCCACTCCTAAATTGTTGAGCATTAAGCAGGAGTAGAAACGACCATTTTTACAGACTCTAGTATGTCTCGGCCAGGGGCCAGAACCCAAAGCCTTCCTCACAGGGGCGAACACTTAACTAAAGGCCAAAAGTGAGGCATTGTCAAGGGAGACATTAGGATGAAAGTAAGTTTAGAAAGAAGAGAAAAGATAAGATCCCAAATTTAGACGCCTCTTACGATCATGCAATGGGGGCAGCAGGTACAATTTAATTCTTACGCCCTACCTGCAGGGACTGTAGGAAGTGGCTAGTACCAGGTATTTTACATGGGTGACATATACTTCCCCCCTGCAAAGAACTTGTTGTAAGTTTGTAGCAGAACTGAACTGGTTCGATCCCCAGCGAGCTGGTAGCTCAATTAGTAGAGTGTCTGCCTAGATTTAAGAGGGTCATGGGTTCGAACCCCGGTCTGGTCGTGCATTTTCCTATCCTGTTACAATGGTACCTGTGACCAACCCTTGTTTCAAGCATTTGGGTTGTAAATAGTTGTGTCTTTGTGGGTGAAGACTAAGAACAAGAGGCCCATAGGGCCTGTATCGCTCACCTGGATATCTAAGCAATCATGGCAGAATATTCTCCAAATGAGATCCAAGGGAATATGCCAGACCCCAAGGCCAATCCTTGTAGCATATATATCTGTATTCAATTTTTCATGCCCAGCAATTTTATGTATGGTTATGGGGTCGGGATGTGGTGGATCCAGAGGGGTTTTTTGGGCTTCAGGAAACCCCCCCACCCTGAGAATTTTCTTTAAAAATCATGTATTTTCACCATTTTCCTCAATTTTTCCCCACATGGAAACCCCCCCAGGAAATTTGGAACCCCCCCC